CGAGGAGTCGACTACAGGCGTCTTTCAATGGACCTCCAAAGTGCATCAAAACATATTGCTGGACAGTATTGCGGAGCTCCGTGACTTCACAAACTATGTTATCCATCAGAATCATCCCGCACTCCAAACGTTGCGTGATCTATTTACACATTGCATCTAGACATTCGGCAACCCAGGCTTCCCCGTATGGACGGAGCTGGTGGAAACACCTGCCGCGCCACGTGACCCAGGCGCGGAGCAGGACATTCCCCAGGACCCAGGCAGCATTGCATCCGCAGCTCCTGATCAAGAAACCATGGTACGGATCATAGCCGAGCAGACGGGGGTCAACCGCGAGGAGGGCGACAACGAGTCCGCCTTGCAGGAGGAGGCTCGCCGTCCCCGTACAGAAAACGCATGCCATGGTGATACTGAGGATGCGGACAACGACACGACAGAGCGCATAGGACTGCCAGGGGAACGATTGTCTAGGATCGAGATCGAGGGAATGAGTAGATCAATCGCTTCCCGACCGAATGCTGAGATCGACCGCGGTGCCATGGATCAGATCGGCCGCAGTCTCGCTCGTGGTCAGGCGACCCAATGGGGATCTCGTGAACATCTCACGGTTGACGGAGCCCCAGAAACTATCCAGCATGATATCGCGCGATGTCGGAATTGCGATCGCATCTTACCCCTAGGGATCGTTACAAATGATGGTACCCTTTGTGACATCTGCTGGCAGTACACTGTATCTGTAGGTGCTACGGGTAAAAGTACCGCCGTCCAGAGCGACCTAGCATACCTCCAGAAGCTGACCCACTGGATCAAGACGACGCTCTCCCAGGATGACATCACGAGGTACATGAGAGACGGAGCGCAAGTCATCATGACGGGCAAGCGCTCATTTCCAGGCAATGAGAAAGACACGCTGAGGAGACTGGCCAATTCCGCTAGGAAGAGGTATCAGAAGTGGGTCGACTCTGGCCGCCCTCCTGCACGCGAGTGCAGACTGATGGGCGAGGCTGAAGACGACAGACCTCTGTACCACCCATATGCCAATCTCGTTCAACGTGTTCTCAATGATTTGAAGTTCCACCACCAAATGACAGGCGCTCGCGTTAACGTGGGCAAGAAGGCCTGGGCCGTTGAGGACATGCGCGATGCATGTGAGATCCTCGAGACCAGCATCAGGACAGGCCAAGCTGGTCGGAAGAAATGGTGGTTGAACGAAGGCAGGCTCGACAGACGCACGCGACAGGCTCGCGGACTTGTCGCGATTGCCCTCCCCAGGGGGGATGGCACCCGTGAGAAAGTCACGCAGCGCAAGCTTGCCGCGCTTGCTCACGAATTGTTGGGTTCTGCCTTGGGTTCCACCGACCAGAGGGGGGTTGATTCAGGGATGAGAACCGGTCCGATCGAACCTGATGCACACTCCCAACACTCTGATGATGCCATGGAGCCGCGCCATCCGCCGCCGCCGCGCCCTGCCCCTGGCGATGATGCACGGTCTAGCGCCTCTGGCGCGGATGACCACGCGCTCGCGGGGTCGCGCGGCACTGCAGCGCAGCGGCAGGATAGCGATGACAGCTACAGACCTCGCGCGAAGAGGGCGCGTACGACAGACTACGCCGCCTGGTGGCGCGACGACCTAGAGGACAGCCATTGGGGCCTCAGGTACTGGAGCTACTACATCAACTGCTGGATCTACATCGCGCTCAACAACGACGAGTTCGTATACATCCGCGACATCCAGTACAACAAGTGGTTTCGCCACTGGATCCCGAGGACATCTTGGGGGACGTTCACGACGAGCTACGTGACGTACGATGGCCACAGGATGTGGGACCGCAGGTTCTACGAGAACGGCAACGCGTAATGAGTCGGCCGTGAGGCCCACCGCTCGAAAGGTTTGAACTTCATTATAATACAAGTTCGCCTTGAGCGGTGGCTATTATATACTTCTAGGCCAGTTCACTATACAATACAACTGGCCACACATACACACATATTTTGCGATAGCCAAGGCAGCCTCCAAAGGAGCAGCGCCAACGGGAGTCGCCATATAGACATTTTACATACATGCAACTTTTAGTGCTCATCAACACGACCTTTCGTCTGGCCAGACATTTGCTTTGATATATAGATGCGTATCGTAACACGATCGTGTTCATCAACACGATCTCAGAATGCATATTCTTTAGAGTCTAACTCCATTGCGTTGAGAATGATCTGACAGCTGGTGGCAACACCTGCCTCGCATAGGCGAGGCAGATTACAAGTTGCTTTAACTTGCTCAGATCCGCTTTCTCCGCCCACCCGTGTCTCATTCTTCTCCGCCCTCGAGTGCCGAAGCGTTTTGGGGGGCGCACCGAGGGGGCGCCAAAGCGTGCTTGGCGAAGAAATTGGGACCCTGGGTGATCCTTCTTACCTTACCTTGCAGCTGAGGCTATACTGACTTTGCGCTCAGCTGCCTGCAGACCTGAGGATTGACGGAGTAAAAGGGTGACGGGTTCTTTTCCTCTGTTCCCGAGTCCTTCCCTCTCGGGCGGGATTCGGGACGGGGGGTGTGAATAGAATCCGTGTGATACCCTCATATATACTCCTTATCCTCACCTCTCCTGCGCCTGGCCGTTTGGGCTCAGGTATTGGGACGGATCGATCGTACCTTTGATCGTGCAGGAGGGAAAGACATCCATCTATCCCTCCTTCCCTCTACCAGCGGATCAGGGGTTCTGTGCCCTTGTACTTCAACCCCATACACACGAAGTTATTCGCGCTTCGCGGTCCTCGTTCCTTCTCCCCCTCCTCCTCGTCTTCCTTTTCTCCCTTTGGGGGAGCGGCTTCGCGGAGCGCGAAGCGCGAAGTTGGGGGCCCTAGTTTGCAGCCAGCTCGGGGGGGCTGGGGTGGCCCAGCACCGCTTCCGGCCGGCAAGCGGGGGGGAGAGAGGCTCCGTTTTCGAGGGACGACACGCGCATACCATGACCAAGATATCGCGGGCTCTTGTCGACCTCGATTTTGGTCATGTTCATGGTCCATGCCGGCCGTCCTCGATTCCCCAGGATGTTGCACGAATTGATGCTGACCAAGATGGACGGTGACCAAGGTCGACACCGACGCTTCCACGTTCAGTCGTGGTCATGGTCCCCTATTTCTTCCCCTCCGTCCCCTCGTCGCCACGACTGGACGCGATTCGAGCAACTTGTCGGTTAAGATGCAGGGGTGTGTCTGGGCTGGCATACGCAATCCGCACCCCTCTTGCCAGATTCTCTTTGGGCTAATCCAATGTGGCTCCTGTGATCCTCTGGGTCCTTCCGCCCTCAATGTGGGTTATTGTGGGCTCCTGTATGATCCTGTGGGTCCTTTCGTCCTTGCCGCGCGTCCCTGTGATCCCGTCGCGCTGAAGGCCGCGCCCGTGGGTCCTCACCGCGCATCCTTGTGCGATCCATTTGCGATCCTGTAGGTCCTTGCGTCTCAGGAGCAATGTTACGTGCGAGGGACTAGGCTTAGAGGGGAACGCATCGACCCCCCATCGCCCATGAATCGCTCATTGTGGTCCGACAGCACCCACCCCTCCCAGGATCATGCGGTTTTGCTATGGGGGGGCATATCGCCGCTCTATCGGCGATGCATCGCCGAGTCCAGACATCTGGCGGTATGATTTTGCTGAACCCGCGGCCCCAGAGGTCCCGACCCCTTCCTTGGGGTCAGTTTGTCGCCCCAGATCCATGTTTGATGGTCCTGGGGCCTGAGAGTGGGCCCCGGAGGCCGAAGTCAGGGGGAAACAGCCATTCTTCAGGACCTTTCGCCCTAACCTTCCGCCCCTTCTTCTCTTTGATCTATGAGGGCACTTTGAGTTATGTAAGGTTCCCATGAGCTTCGACTAATTTGCCCGCACCTTCCGCGGAGGTCGGAAGGTCTTGAAGTTGGAGGTTGAGGTGGAGGGCCAGCAACCCAACAAAGCTCCCTACAAGCAACAGAGGTGAAGAAGCGGGTCGAGGCGTAGGAGATCGGCCAGCGAAACGTTGTTGTCAGACGTCTGGTGGGGGTGTGGGAGCCCTGTGGGGAGGGCGCACCCGTCGCCCCTGCGAGGCCGCCCGGCCGCGCCGGCATCGCACGCGGGAGGCCCCTCTGGCTTCGTTCTCGCCGGCTCGCGGCGCCTTTCATGCCTCGGGGGGGGCGCTCCAGTTGTGCGCCTCGCCGCGAGCGTGCTGGGTTTGCCTGGAGTTTCCCGATCGGCCGCCGGACACCTCAGCCATGACCCGAAAGCTGGACGACGAAGGCAGGCCAGACCGTCAACTCAGTGAGGAAGAACAAGACGGAGGTCTTTCGCCGTTCTCTGCCTTGGTGATCCCTCGCCGGGCCTCGGGACAGTCCAAGCACGGTTCGAGGCGGAGCGCGTTTTCAGTTAGGTTCTGGCAAGTTGTATTGTATGGCCTTTCCCCCCTCCGCCTTCCGCCTTTCACTTCAAGCAGCGCTTGGCCGAGAAGGCGTGCGAGCGAGTACCGACTTGCGTGAAGTACAGACTTCATTTCGGGGCTCACGCGCCCTCCCTCCATGCAAGCAGACTCGCAAGAGTATGCAGAAAAACTGCGCCCAACGCAGTGAAACATCAAGATACAGGTCTCTCGCCGTCTTCTCCTTCTTGGGGCCCTCGCCAGGCCCCGGGACCGTCAAACCACTACCAAGGATGAAAAGCGGATCCCGGTGAAGGGGTCGAGACGGAAGTTGTTCCAACCTGTTTTGGCCTCACTCACCAGAGAGAACTTCGAGCCCCATGAGAAGTACTGAAATTTGGGGGTGTTCGCGTGTTGGGCCCTGGGAGGCGATACTCGTTCACAACCGTCTCGACACTCCTGGGTGCTCAAAATTCTTTCTGGGATGCGGTCCTTCGTGCGATGGGAGCAGCATGAGCCCAGGATGAGGAGCGGAGCCTGGTGAGGGGGTCGAGACCTCCCTCGGGCCCAAGCTGTGTTGTGAAGTAGTCGTGGCAGCGGAACTTCTGGGGATGCCGCCCCCAGCAGCAGAAGAAGCAGTTCGAGAAGGGCAACATGAAGCGCGAGATCGAGAAGACCCGCCCGGCCCCCGCCGCCCATTAGGCCTCGGAACGATCTGTAATCCCTCTTTCTGCACGAACGAAATGGGCACGGAAAGAATGGGTACAACGCCCAACAGCGGCTCTTGTTCATTTTGAACAGGACTCGCTGTCCACGCCGCCGCGGCCTGTGTCCATTCGAGACAGAAGGCCGCCTGCCCAACAGCGGCCGCTATTGGTTTGGGACAACATTTGTTGTTGGGCATTGTACCCATTCTTTCCGTATCCATTTCGGGCGTCCAAACTCTTGGAGCCCCTGGGGGCATCCATAGATACAGATGGGGCGCGATCCCACATGAGTGTTGCGGGAAACAATCACAAGCGAAGGTGACCTTCGGGATAAGACGACCATGAATGAGAAAACACAGCCTTCGAGCGGGTCCTGCGGGACACGGGTCTTGAGCTTGTTTTTTTCGCGGGCGGTCAAGAGGGGGAAACTCGGAGGTCCGCGCGGATTCCTCGGATCGGCGCTGGACCCCCCTGGTGGCACCTCCGGCGCCGCCCCTGGCGCGTCTTCCGCGCGCCAGGGAGGGGGGTCCGGGTCCAGCGCCGACCCGAGAAATCCGCGCGGACCTCCGAGTTTTTCTGTGTATGTCGTGCTTCGTTCCCTTGATGAAGCGAGCGGTTCCTGAGGACAACGGGTCTTGAGTGTATTTCTCGGGGGTGGACAGACCTACCCTGACACGTCGATGAGGGAATTGGCAGTTTTCGGTTCGCGAGAGGGCGTCGCGGCCGTCATTTTTACGGGTCCGGGTTCGTCGGTTTCGGTCCAAGGCCGTTTTCATTAAGGGGAGGTTTACTAAAGGGAGGCTTGTCCACCGCCGAGAATGGCCAAGCAATAGTTTGGGACGATTCTCGATTTGTTTTGAATATGTTCAGGCTATTCTTAGTTTTTCTTCCCACTCCGCCTGAAGGAGGGCATGCCCGACCTGACGCGAGGCCCGGCGCCCCCGAGTCATGCCTCGAGGGTGCGCCCCCGAGTCATGCCTCGAGTTCTGACTCTCCCGGAAGCCGAGCAGCCACGGCGCGGCCCCTGGAGTCTGCATTTGTCCGCGGTGGGTACCTCCTCCTCCTCTTCCTCCTCCTCCTCCTCATCCCCCTCCTCCTCCTCCTCCCCCTCCTCCTCCTCACTCCTCACTCCTCACTCCTCACTCCTCACTCCTCACTCCTCACTCCTCACTCCTCACTCCTCACTCCTCCTCCTCCTCCTCCTCCTCCTCCTCCAGTCGGCGTGGGCAGGATCGAGGCTTTACCGACCCGCCAGGAGAGTAAGAAGCTTCCACCACGCGACTTGCACGACCTATCCGCTTGCTGCCTCGGCCAAGGGAGGAGGCAGGGGGAGAGGAGGGCAGACACGGCCACATACACTCGCAGTCCGCCTAATGAAAATAGTCACTTACATCCCACAGAGCGCAGCGATGAGCGAACGACTAGAAGACATTAGCTGCGAACTGAAGGGCTGGGACATAGTACTACTAAACGGAACACATCACTGGGCGGCAGCAGAGGGAGTATTCACCCACCGACTACCACACCATTTGGCATATCGGTTTGGAGGGAAGAAAGGCAAGCTGGTGACGAAGGTCTGTGGAATCGCCATTCTGGTAGCTCACCACATACATCCGACGTCCCTACGAAGCACTTATGTCCCCCCAGCCGAGATCCAAGGTCGAGTGGGGGGCCTCCGTATCTGGTCAAGAGAAGTGGACTTCTGCTTTTTTAGCGTTTACCTCGCCCCCATCCACTGCCAGTCCTTCTCCACGATAGCAAAAAAAGTGACGGGATGGGTAGAGAACCAGTGCGACGGGATGGGGGCTCGCTGCGCAGTAGTGGTGGGGGGAGATATTAACAGTCAGCTAGGTTTGCATAGAGGACCAGACGGAGTGGTCGCTGCTAACAGAGGAGCTACGACGGGACCAAATGACCATTTTCTGGAAAATGAGAACGGGCAGTATTTCAGGGAGATGTGTACAGGTTCCCACCTAGCAGTGGCTACAACGTATTACGACGTGGGCCCGACCTACTATTCTCCGAAGGGGGGCTCCAGCACAATCGACCACATTGCTATCCCAGTCTCGGCCCTTTGGTGTCTCGATGCGTAGCGTTGCGCACGTCGGCGAAGAGGCTGCAGCTGATACGAAGGAGAGGACACAGAGACCACATCCCCATAGGCATCGTCCTAGATGTATCTGGCAGGAACAGTTTTGCGTCGGTGCGAAGGGGAAGGGAGCCCCCCCTGGATCGGGACAAGCTGATGGATTGCCTCCGCAGAGGCACAGCGCGCCCCGACCTTTTTGCTGCATTGGAGAGGGAGATGGAGGGGATGCAGGAAGAGTGGGAGCAGGCGAAGCAGGAGGGGACGCCCGACAAAATGTGGGACCTGTGGAGTGGAGCAGCTCGGAGTGCGCTGGACACCTGCTTCCGACAGGGGCAGAAAGACTTGGACTCGACTACGGAAGTGGTGCGAGAGCGACGGATGACACTGTTAGCAGAAAGCAGGGCCCTAAGAGAGAGAATGGTAGATGGCGAGTCAGACGAACAACTTGTGCAGACACAACAGGAACTCTCGGATATGACGGCCCTACTGAAGGTCTTGAGGCAAGACGCCGAGAAGGCGAGAAGAGCTAAATTTGTTGAGGAAATCTGGGAAGCCCACCAGAGAAACGATTTCAGCACCATGCGCAGACTACGTATCCAGTACCAGCGAAACGGAAGAGGCCGAAAAAAACGATATTATCAGACAGCTAGAACACACTGGCCGAAAGAGGAATGGCTTCGAGAACTTGGGAAGATACCTGAGGAAGGAGGACTAGCAGCACAGGAGATCGACCTGGACGAGTACGTTAGGGAGCAACGGGAGAGAATCGAGGAGCAGCTACCTCTGCCAGAAGATGCGGAGGCCATGGCTCTCATGCTGTTGGGCAAGAGTTGGATGCTGAAATATTGTAAAAAGGCGGCAAAACGACGGGCCTGACCTAGATGGGGGATCCCTGTGGAACTTACTTGGGTGATCCGGGGTCCTCGACGCATCTTGAACACCCAGAGCTCTTGAGCCGCCATATAGAAGCCAGTAGGGCTCGCGCAGCTGAAGGGAGAGAGGACGAGGAGGATCTGAGCAAGTACACGCCACTGTTTCGTTATCGAGTAGGTAGAAGAATGTTGGAAAGGATGGGGTGGAACAGCGGGGAGAGACTGGGCAGTACGGGTAAGGAATTGGACGGCGCAGAGTTGGGCGCCTGCGAAGTGGCACCGTACTTTGTGGACCGACCAGAGAGAGGGGGATTGGGCACGGCCAACTTGCGCAGGAACGACGAAGAGGGACCGTATTTGTTCCAGCGGCTTCTAGATCAGCTGTTGATGAAATGCAGGACATCGCAGGTGACTCCCCTGGCGTGGCATCGTTCTATTTCCTTCGACGCGGATAAAAACAATGTGACACCAGGCATCGGGGGGAAACGTATCATGCATGCATGCGACTCTATGAGTATGGCGTGGCATTGGGGTATACACAAAAGGGGCCCTCAACCTAGTCACCCCCCATGGGCCCAAGGAGGCCTGGCGCGCAGGAGCCGCGAGAATGCGATTCTCTGCTTACAGGCTGCGCAGTGGAGGGCCAGGGAAGGGGGAGTGAGTATTGCGCACACAAACTACGATTGCAGCAACGCGTTTGCCAGTACGAAGAGGGGGCTCCCCCAGGCGACGGCGTGGAAACATGCGAGCGAGGCAGACCAGCCATTCGCCTTAGGAGCTATTTGCAACACACAGCTCAGCATGCGTTGCGCAGATGAGTGGCTGCACGCAGGGACGGCGGTGGGGGCCCAGATGGGTTTCACCCTGTGCCCGCGCCAGTTCAACGACGCCTACAACTTGTATGTAGACAAGTGGCTTCAGTCGGAAAGAGACAGGGCTATGCACCAAACGTGGCACGACACACGGAATCATGTGACTGACACTTGGCACGGCTTGGCACTGAACACGTTCATGGACGATGTGACGCGCGCGCACGCACGATTCTCCAGGGAGCAACGACCAGCGCGGTGACAGAACAGCTGAATGGGGCAACGACTAGACTGGAGCAGACAATCGGCAAGGGCGGATGGAGGTTGAACCAAGGCAAAACCAACCACCTCTTGTGCATCTGTGGCCCTGGGAGCTACACAGTGGCAAGGCAGCTCAGACGGTCCACTGAACTAAAGGGGGAAGCGCTACGAGAGATGAGAGTCCTTGGACCTTTCCTCCCATCCGACCAGGGGCTGGGGGGGGGGGGGGGGATGCGCAGACGGATATCAGCCATGAGAGTGGCTTGGCGGCAATGCGGCAGTTTTTGGAGCTCATACACCCCTGACCCCATCAAGCGCACCATGTTCATTGCATTCGTCTTGGGTGCCGCGTGGAGCGGCATGGCGGCTTTCGTTCTCCCAGCTGCCCTCACGGATGCCCTCGATGCTGTGATTGGGAAATAATTGCGCAGACTTGCAGTAGGACGGATGAGCTGGCAGCTCGAATCAGGTGAGACACGCTGCTATCCGACAGCGCGGGTGTTCAAAGAATGGGTGATCGAAAGGAGTGCCGCGGCCCTCAGGACCAGGCGATTAAAGTGGCACAGAAACTGGGTGTTGTGCCCCCACGAGCATGCACATGTTATTGCTGCAGTGTTTGGCGAATCCAAACTAGACGAGAGGAGACAAATTCGCAGGCTGCAGGCGCAAAAGTGGGCGTGGTGTTTTTTTCGACCCCGTGGGCCCGACAACTTAAAGCAGACCTGGATGCACTGGCTGAGGTGGCGGAGGAAATGAAGGATTGGTACGACAAACGGACTTCGGATTTCGAGATCGTTTGCCCAGGGGCCCAGGCGTGGCAACAGTGGACAAACATGGATGTGACGGCTGTCCGCAGTGCAGCACTGGCTTGGGACCAGGGGAAGGAGGACGAGGAGTTGAAAGGAAACGAGGAGGTGACAAAGGCCTTTTGGTGCG